TTATTCATTTATTCAATCATCCATTTATTCATTTATTCACTTCGGAAGAGTAGTCTCCCACTCTCGAAAAGCTTAAGCATTCTCTAATATAACATTGGATGGAATCACTATAGTTGAGGTTGGACCAGTAATTGGCACTCCACGTATCACCCTGGTAGTCCAGGTATCACTGAGGTACTCCAGGTATCGCCCAGGTACTCTAGGTATCGCCCAGGTACTCTAGGTATCGCCCAGGTACTCTAGGTATCGCCCAGGTACTCTAGGTATCGCGCAGGTACTCTAGGTATCGCCCAGGTACTCTAAGTATCGCCCAGGTACTCTAGGTATCGCGCAGGTACTCTAGGTATCACCCAGGTACTCTAAGTATCGCCCAGGTACTCTAAGTATCACCCAGGTACTCTAAGTATCGCCCAGGTACTCTAGGTATCGCGCAGGTACTTCACGTATCGCTGAAGTACTTGGGGTACCGCGCAGGTACTCTAGGTATCACGCAGGTCCTCCAGGTATCGGCCAGGTACTCTAGGTATCGCCCAGGTACTTCACACATCGCCCAGGGTACTTTAGGTATCGCTCAAGTACTCGAGATATCGCCCCAGGTACTCTATGCGTCGCCCAGGTACTCCAGGTATCGCGATCTGAGGGAGCAAGAAGCAAGGCGAAAGATGGTAATTACCTGAAGGAGTCTTTTTCTGAAAGCTACCGAGAGAGAGTGGCGGAGGAGAGCTGCTGCAGAAGGGCGTAGCTTAGCTCTGGCGATGAGGCCGGTGTACAGAGAGTAAGGAATGGAGAGATTATGAGCGTGAAAGGTGACATGCTGTATGTAAACTGTCGGAGATAATCATGAATGTAGGGATGCAGGGAATTATAATGATGATGATGGTGATGATGGTGATGGTGATGATGATGATGATGGTGATGATGATGATGATGATGATGATGATGATGATGATGATGATGATGATGATAATGATGATAATAGTAATAATGATAATGATAGTAATAATGATAATAACAGTAATAATGATAATAGTAATAATAATTATTATCATAATAATAATAATGATGATGATAGTAATAATGATAATAACAGTAATAATAATAATAATGATAATAATAATAATGATAATATTGATAATAATAGTAATGATAAGGATGATGATGATGAGAAGGAGGAGGATGAAGATGAGGATGAGGATGATGATAATAATAATAATGACAATAACAATGATAAAGTTAATGGCAATGATAATCATAACAATAATAAAATATATGACTAAAGGAATCTTAGATAATGAATACTTACTCTGAGTATGAAGTACACTTACACCCGACAGTGAAAAATACGTACTATGAACTCCCCATCTAGCTGACGTGGAGACTATGGGTAGTTTTTGGAAGCAAGGTGGCTCTTTTTCTGCTAATAATTTCAAGTTCGGGTAGTTGGATCGCCGAACAGGATGCTGCATCTGTAGAAAGAGGGATGGGAGACTCGTTATTGTATTTATTTCTCAGTTTATCATAGATTAAAGAAAAAACGAGGTGATTTGTCTCCAGCTGTGGCACCCGTTGTGGGCTTCCGACGAGGCAACTTATGAAGATGATACACATACGCACACGCAAACACACACACACACACATACACGCACGCACACACACACACACACACACACACACACACACACACACACACACACACACACACACACACACACACACACACACACACACACACACATTTCGTTATCTCTTGCATCCAAACCTTATCCCATCCCAGCATCTTCCATCTCCTCCGCCGCCTCCTCCTCCTCCTACTCCTCTTCCTGTTTCTTTACCTCCTCTTCCTCATTTTCCTCCTCCTTCTCCTCCCTCCTCTCTTTCTCCTCCTTTACCTACTTTTCCCCTTAATCCTCCTTTTTCTTCTCCTTCTTTTCCTCCCTTTCCTCCACCTCCTCCTTTTTCTCTACCTCCTCCTCCTCCTTTTCCTCCTCCTACTTTTCCCCTCCTCCCGTCTCTTTCCTCCTCCTACTTTTCCCCTCTTCCTGTCTCTTTCCTCCTCCTTTTCCCACTCCTCCTCGTTTCCCCTTCCTCCTTCTTTTCCTCCTCCTCCTCCTCCATATTCAATCTTCCAACGGTCCCTCACTCACATGCTCCTCCTCCTCCTCCTCCTCCTCCTCCTCCTCCTCCTCCTCCTCCTCCTCCTCCTCCTCCTCCTTCTCCTCCTCCTCCTCCTCCTCATCTTCTCTCTCCTTCTCCTTCTCCTCTTCCCCCTCCCCCTCGCTTCCCCTCCACCCTTCCACCGCCTTTCCCCTCATATTGCACTTACCCTCACCGTCCTACCACGCCCTCCCCCCCACCATTCCCCTCCTTTTCCCCTCATTGACTTGATCATTTCCAAAACTTTTTTTTATATTTCTTACTTCCTTCTTTTTTTATCTCCTTCTTTCTTTCTTTCTTTCTTTTTGAGGGCGAAGTTTATTTTACTGAATCAGCCAGAGGACAC